AGCATCACACCTCCTGTCACAGGGCATCACTAAAGGGCTTCCCACAGTTAGGAGTTCAGGTGGCATCATCTTAGCTTTAAAACTACAGCCCAAGGCTGATGTTCATCCAAGAAAACTTGTGAGCTCAGAGCACCTAAACTACCATTCTCCACGCGTTTGCTCTGCTGATCATTTCCACCATCAGCAGCACAGCTGAGACTTCCTGAGGAACATCAAGTGTTACAGGGATTTATACTTTAAGCTTCTTTCTAGTTGCAATTGAGGTCAAACTCCAAGCTTGTGCCTCTGTATCTATTATGTAGCTGGTACCTACCAGCACACTGACACCCTTTATGCCTTTGCTGACCAATCTAGTGACCTTGTTGGGTAGGTTTGCCAAAAATATGAGTAAGCGCATGCAGCTGCAAGGTAACTGCAGAACCTGAGGAAGCAAAAAATTCCAGTAATTCATGGTTCAGCTCCCTATTGCCTCTAACACAAAAGCAACGGCTATCTTGCTTCCCATTTTACACAGGTATAATCTATCTGCAAGCTTTTTCAACATCAAACATACTGCAGTTAAGGCAAGCTTTAATGATACTTAGGCCAGATTTAGGTCTACAACAAAATAGCCATGGTTCATTTCTCCATGCTCAGCAGGGCTGTGACACTTTGACCATAACTCTGGGCAGGCTCAGCAGGATTGTGACCACCTCCATTTTTTTGCAAGAGGTTAAACAATGAAATTCCATTGCTGATTCTCTGGAGTCTTTAAGATACTTTATTCTCCTTTCCACCTTTCTTTAAAGGGTCTTTCAAAATTGCTTACAAGGGATGGCTTCTGTGATGCTCAAAATAGCAAGGGCCTGAACTGGAGAGTCTTTGCAAATCCTTCTAAACCTAAGCTGTGAGGTATGGGAAGCTTTGTAGGAAACCAGTTTTCATTAAGATGTATCAATAAAGGAATTTATATCCCTTAGCATGCATACTGGAAGTACAGCCACACTGTTAGAGCCTACCTAATGGCTTGCCAGGAAGAG